TCCCCCCTGCCCGGCTCCGAGGCGAAGAGGCCGGTCCTCCCCCCCACCCAGCTCCGAGGCGGAGGCGGCGGTGGAGAGGGCAGTCCTCCCCCCCCCTTGCCCGGGTACCACGTCAAGTTTACCTTGATTCATAGATCTTACATTCCAGGTTCCTATGTAGTATTGTTCTTTGCAGCATCGGACTTTCCTTTCACCATCAGACACATCCACAACTGAGCGTCCTTTCGGCTTTGGCCCAGCCGCTTCACTCTTTCTGGGGTTACTTGTACTTGTCCTCTGCTCTTCCTCAGTAGCATATTGGACACCTTCCGACCTGAGGGGCTCATCTTCCAGCATCATATCTTTTAGCCTTTTGATACTGTCCATGGGGTTTTCTTGGCAAACATACTGGAGTGGGTTGCCATTTCCTTCTCCAGGGGATCACACTTGGTCTGAGTTCTCTGCTGTGGCCTGTCCGTCTTGGGTGGCCCTCCACGGCATAGCCCACAGCTTCATCGAACCACGCAAGCCCCCTCGCCACGACAAGGCAGTGATCCATGAAGGGGTCTGACAAGGTACTTCACCAAAAACTCCTGCGTAAACTTAGCAGTCATGGGATGAGAAGACAGGTTTTCTTATGGATTAAAAACTGGTTAAATGACAGAAAGCAAAGTGTAGGAATAAATGGACAGTTCTTACAATGGAGGGAAATAAGCAGTGGGGTTCCACAAGGATTGGTATAGGGGCAGCTACTATTTAATTTATTCATAAATGACCTGGAATTAGGGTTGAGTAGCGTGGTGGCCAAGTTTGCAGGTGACACAAAATTATTCAGGATGGTGAAAACCAAGGCTGACTGTGAAGAGCTCCAGGAGGACCTCCACAAAATGGGTGAGTGGGTGACAATGTGGCAAAAGAAGTTCAGCTTTAGTAAGTGTCAAGTGATGTGCATTCTGACAAAAATCCCAACTTCTGGTATAGGCTAATGGGTTCTGAACTTGCTGAGACTGGGAGGGGAAAAGATCTTGGGGTCATAGTGGATAGCTTAATGAAAGTGTGCTGCAGTGGTGAAAAGGGCAAACTCTGTGTTAGAGATTATTCGGAAAGGGATTGAGAATAAAATGACCAATATTGTAATACTCCTGTATAGATCTGTGGTACAGCCACATTTGGAATACTGTGTAGAGTTCTGGTCACGGAATCTCAAAAAGGACATTGCAGAGCTGGAAACAGTATGAAGGAGGTCAACCAAGATGATTAGGGGGTTGAAGCACCTTCCCTAAGAGGAAAGGCTGAAGAGTCTGGGACTAAGAGAGATGACTAAGGGGGGACGTGATAGAGGTTTATAAAATTATGCACGGAGTGGAGAGAGCTGAGAGAGAAATTTTTCTCCTTCTCCCAAAATTCTAGAACTCGAGGGCAGTAGTTTAAGGATGGACAAAAGGAAATACTGCTTTACACAAAGAGTAATTAAAATGTGGGATTATCTGCCAGAGGATATCGTGATGTCCACAGGAATAAATAGCTTTAAAAGGGAATTATATAGGTTCATGGAGGATGTCTATTGATGACTACTAGCTATGGTGGCTGAGGGGAATTTCCACATTCAGAGGCACTAATCCTCTGAAGCCCAGAGCCAGGAGGCAACATCAAGGAAAGCCCTTGGCCTCTATGCTGTGTTGTTGGCCATCCAGAGGAACTGTTCGGCCACTGTGTGAGACAAGATGCTGAACTAGATATACTATTGGCCTGATCCAGCAGGGCCCTTCTTAAGTTCTTACTTTCAGCCCACCGAAGAAGCCTAATCAAACTGGGAACAAATAAAGGTAGGTTGGCTGGGAAGGAGATAGAGTTGTCAACTCCAAGTTGAGAAATTCCTGGAGATTTGAGGGAGGAGCCTGGAGAGGGTGAGGTTTGAGGAGGCATGGGACCTCAGACAGGTACAATGTCATTGACTCCACCCTCCAAACCAGCCATTCCCTCCGGGGGAACCATTGTTGCCAATCTCCAGGTTTGGGCTGGAGATCACTCAGAATTACAACTGCTCTTCACGTAGCAGAAGTCAGCTGAAGTCAGAGGGGCAGATAACGGTATGTTGATGATTAGCTGGGAAGGAGATGGGGTTGCCAACTTCAGGTTGGGAAGTTCCTGGAGATTTGAGGGGTGGAGCCTGGAGAGGGTGGCGTTTGAGGAGGGATTGGACCTCATAAAGGTACAATGCCATAGGCTCCACCCTTCAAACCAGCCATTTCCTCCTGGGGAACCACTGTTGCCAATCTCCAGGGGAGGGCTGGAGATCACTTAAAATTATAACTACTCTTCACGTAGCAGAGATCAGTTCCTCTGGTGAAAATGGTGGACTCTGTGTCATTACACCCTGCTGAGGTCACCATAACTAATTGATGCTGAGTGCCCAAGGCCGGGACACTCTCCCAGAGCCCCTATCTAGAGTTTGTTGTATTTATTTCCACAATGGGCCTTATTTCTAGTTATATATGTTTTCATACTCATAATTGCAGCTATTGCATTGACTCTTTGAAAGAACAGTCTTCCATCAAGAGATTATACTACAGTTCCATCCACATACAGGTATATAATAATTAATTGAATTTCTGCACTCACTGCAAAATGGCTCCATAGGTCCTGTGTTCAAAAAGAACTTTGGATTGTCCTCCTTCAGTTTATCGTAGAACCGATCAGCATAATAACCCATCATGGGGCAGCCTTCTTTGGGACATGGGAAGCATTTTCCCTAGGGGAAAAGTAATGTGTTGGTCAATAAGGAATATTTTGTTTATTTTTCCATTCTAAAATTTCTTAAAATATAGATTCATGAAATCTTTGATGCTATGCTTTTCAAAGGCTTGAACTTCAGAGTTCAGAAATAATTATTCCTGTTCTGTTTACTGTCCATCTGGCAACTGATTAAAACAGTAAGGGTTCATGCCTGCCTAGCAATCACTTTCTGCTCTGGAAGCCCTTGCATATAATCCAAAATGCATGAGGACTAGTTGTACTCAATGATTGGGAACAGGTCTGCTATATACACGTTCTTTTTATAACTGTGAAAGTTGACATTATAGTTTAACAACAGTCCTGCAACATAAGCACACAAATTAAACCAATTCAATAAACTTCAGCCAGGTCAGAATGACATGCTTACCTCCTTGAAAGTCTGATAGGATTCACATGGATAGCCGATAAATCCATCAGGACAGAGAATACTGTATCTGAAGTACTCATGGCTTCGTGAGTGGTCGCAATTTCCAGTACCACGAGTGACTGCCAAAGGAAAGCTAGACGTTTCAGTAAAAACAAATGCTTTCCTGCAAAGTTGCCCCCACTTTATCCATAATACAACAAAAGGGCAGTCTTATACTCCAACTATAAGAATCCAGGCATTCTATAACTGCTAAGCCTTTAATAGACACCTTCCTCCAGGTCTTGCAACGAGGGCTAGAAACTTGCTGCTTAAAAAACAAACAAACAAAACCCCCTGAATCTCAGGGTTCTAATTAAATATACTGATTCTGTAGCTTTGTTGAACCTTAGCCTGTGTTTGCAGTGTTTCATGAATTATTTTAGGATAGCAGCCAAGTTCTTGGATGCACACCTTAATGTTGTGAGGGGGGTTGTGTGTGTCAGTGAAGCTGAGAACAAGGGACCCAGGCTCTGTCAAGAGCCTAAATTGCTAGCAGAGTCACTCAAGGCCACAGCTGAGACACTAGACTAAGATTCATCAACCCCATTCACTGATCAACGGCCACATCAGCAGAAGAGAACAGATAATTCCAGTGGTGATGGGGGAAGAGGAATCCTTGAAGGGTAGCTACTGGGCGGCAGCAGTAGTGGAAGGTGACACTGGCAGAGATCTTTTGTAGACAATGGCAGTGCTACTTCAGCTAACGCTGATTAGTACTGAGCAGAAGAAGGCAATGGTAAACTACTTCTGAGGACATTAATTCATAGGGCCGCCATAAGTCAGAGGCAACTTGATGGCATTTAACACACACACACAGACAGAGAGAGAGAGAGCACCCAAGTAAGAGAAAAATGCTGTTTCTTGTAACATTTCTCCAACACTGCATTTGTTAACCTGGCTGTCTTCTGGTCTCACATACTTCTCTGCTTCCTTTGGTCTGACATCAGTATATTATTAATAGATACTACACTGTAGTTGCATTTCCTGACACTTTTCCCTACGCCATAAACTTGCCTTTCTTTTTTCCTTTCTCTGTGTAGCAGCAGCTCAGGCAGGGGGAACAAGGTTGATTTTTGATCGGTCAGATATAGAAAGGGTTAAATTCCTTCTCTTTCTTTCTCCCACCCCACCTTACCATCCTAATGTAAATCAGGCCAAACACCTATATCAGCTGCAATTTGCATTTAAAAAACTGTTGGAATGTTCAATCCAATCCTTCCAGTTTCATGCTTTTTGGGGGGTATTTTTGAATATTTATCATATGTGCATGTCTGTGTGTGTGCATGTGAACGTCTGTGTACCTGGAATTCATGGTGACCTTGGGTGACTGACCCTACTGGGGCCCTGGAGGATATTCAGAGAGGTGGTATACAGTTATCTGTAAAACTCTCTGAATAAAGTCTGCCCCCGCCTCCTGTCTCTGGTACTTCAAGGAGGTCTCCCATCCAAGTACTTGCCAGAGTCAATCTGGCTTAGCTTCCAAGATCTGACAAGACTGGGCTATCCAGGGCAGGGCCAATCCTTCTCGTTTTTGACTGGGTTTGATCAGGGATCATTTCCTAGAAAAAGAGCTAGGGGGACTCATTAGCATAACTCATTAGCATATGCCACACCCCCTGACATCACCGGAAGTGTGTCATAAGGCCACACCCCCTGACATCACCGGACGTGTGTCATGAGGCCACACCCCTGACATCACCGGAAGTGTGTCATGAGGCCACACCCCCTGACATCACCGGAAATGTGTCATGAAGTGCGCGAGTACCGAATTGGAGACAAGGAGGTCTTTGACCACCTGGAACTCCGCTTGCTAAGCCGGGCCCCAGACCCACGGCGTGCCCTTGTCGAGGAGCCGATGGAGGGGTTCCGCTACTGCTGCTTTGAGGGGAAGAAAGGAGTGGTAAAAGTTCAGGAGGCCTAAGAAGGCCTGTAGTTCGGTCTTTGACGTGGGGGCTGGAGCGTTCGAGATCGCCTTCGTCTTCTCCGCCATGGGGTGGATGCCCTGTGCGTTGACTGCGAAGCCCAGAAACTCCACCTTGTGCATGCCGAGCAAGCATTTTTCACGCTTCACCTTTAGCCCCGCACGGTCGAAGCGATGAAGAACGGCACGGAGTCGGGTGGCAAACGACGCAGCGTCGGGGGCGGCGATCAAGACGTCATGTAAAAAGGGCTGTACCCCGGGGATACCTTTGAGGAGAGAGTCCATGAAAGATTGAAAAATCCCCGGGGCCACAGAGACGCCGAACTGGAACCGGTGGACCCTGAAAGCCCCCCTGTGTGTGGCAATCGTCTGGGCTTCCGCCGTGGCGGCGTCCACCGGCAGCTGCTGATAGGCCTGTGCCAAGTCCAGCTTTCTGAATATGCGAGCCCCCGTGAGTGCTGCCAGCACGTGGCTGACCACCGGTATGGGGTACGCATGGTCCTGCAGTGCTTTGTTTATCGTGCACTTATAGTCCGCACAGATCCGGACGTCCCTGTTTGGCTTGATCGGTGTGACAATGGGGGTTTCCCAGCGTGCCGATGCCACCGGCTCCAACACCCCTTGCGCCACCATCTCTTCATATCAGCGTCGGTGACCCGCATGCAGGCGAGGTAGTGCTTGAGGATCCTCACCCATGTGGTCCATCGCTCGGGATGGGCCAAGTCAAACAGAGCAATGCCCTCATGCAAGGTTCCCGCTGGGGCGGCGGTGGCGGCCCCGGAGGATGCGTTGGCCCCGGAGGATGAGGAGGTGGGAGCAGAGGTGGGAGCAGAGGTGGCGTTTTGCTCCGACATTTTCGCGGATGCTCTGGGATGCTCGGCGAGGAAGACGAGGTGAGGCTGGCGAGACGGTCAAGCGAGCTGAGCCTGCGGCATGGCTAGGGTGGCGGCAGCGACGGGAGCATGGAGAACGGCGCTGCTGCTCGCGGGGTCAGCGGTGTGCGAAGCGGAGCCGGGAGCGGAGCGATGAGCAGTTGCCGGAGAGCTGGGATGCAAAGCGGTGCGGTCCCCGGAGAGGTCTCGGTGTCGGGGCTCGGTGCGGCGCTCGTGTTGCCGTCCGGATCTTTGTTCATGGGGTCGTGGATCCCACCTTCGTCGCCAGTGAAAAGTACTCAGAACGTGGAGTGATTTCAGCAAGAGTACTTTTATTAGTGAAGAACAAAGACAAAGAAACCATGTCGCAGGCCGGTTTATATGTGTTCAGAAAACCCGCCACCAAGTACACCTAAACACACACCCTACTCCCGATAGGCTATTTACAGTAACCAGGCGACCATTGGTCTCCTGGCTGGGAAGCTAGCCCTTTTGATTGGGCCGGCTAGGATCCTTCGGATCCTTTGTCTTTCGACTGAAGCTACAGATGAATTGTGCCTGGCCAGCCCGGGCAAGTCCGGGCATGTCAGGCTGCTGCATTACACGAGGAAATGGCGGCAGTACATTACAGCTCCAGAGCAAACTCATTGATGCAGCCGCCAAATCGCTCGCTCACAACTTTAATGCCGGTAGCTAAGCTCACAGAGTAGAATGGTTGCTCACAAGACTCCACAGCTTAGAGGGAGCATTGGATGGGAGATATAGAGAGAGCCCGGGGAGGAAACAAAGGGAAAGTGCAAACCCAGCTCTTTAGGTGAACAAAGGCTTTAAATAGTCCCGGATGTTTATCCTGGCTTCTGATTCAGTGGATTTATCCTGTCTGTTCCCTGGACGCATCTGCCAAGACTATTCTCCCCCCCACCCCACAAAGCAATGGGAAAATCCGTCTAGCTGGTGGGAAGGAACATAGCTCTGCTGTGCAACCAACCGTAAATGCTTTGATTGATGCAGGGGAAGGGAGACCGGGGGGCGCCGAGCAGGAGCGTCTCCTCCTGAGTAAAATTCTACTTTGTCTTGAGCTGCTGGCTGGGCTGGCTGGCTGGCTGAGGGCTTGCCGCGCGGGGGTGGGGGGCGCCGAGTAGGAGCGTCTCGCCGTCTCCTCCAGAGTAAAATTCTACTTTGTGAGTTGCTGGCTGGCTGGGCTGGCTGGCTGAGGGCTTGCCACGTGGGGGGGGGGCGCCAAGCAGGAGCGTCTCTACTCCTTAGAGTAAAATTCTACTTTGTCTTTTGGCCACTGGCGTGAGGGTCTGCGCGGTTCAAAAAATGCTGGAGCCGGCTCTGCCCGCCCCCCACCCAAATTAAAAACCTTAGTAGGGCCCCCAGTACTTACATTCTTTTCTCACAGTGGGGGAGGCTCAGGAACAGCGAGGCTAGGCACAGGGCAGGCAAGCACGTGAGGCTCAGAGAGAGAGAGAGACTGCTGCTGCCGGCCACGCGCCACAAGAATAAAAACGAAAGTACCAGTCCAGCCCACAAGGGAAGTGGAAAATGACGCTTTAGCCCTTGGAGGACTTAAATCCTAGAGCGTCATTTTCCGGCCGCCATTTTTTCCCCCCGGGTCACAATTTTTAGAAAGCGGGGAGGGGGGTATTGAAAGCACGGGGTTCCCCAGGCCCAGCGGGCGTTTGGCAAGCCTAGGGGAAGCAGAGGGCGGCCAGAAGCAGGGGGCAGGGCTTCCTGTGCCCCGCCCCCCCGCACCTCACCCGGCGGGATGGCGTCCCCTCGCGTCCCCCCCCGAAATGACCCCTGGGTTTGATCTATACTGTGCAAGTTTCTTTCTTCTTTTTAGAACTGCAGTGCAAGCAGACCCTATGTTTATTTACTTCCTGCTTTCTCACCTAATGGGAATAAAAAAGAGCTTTCCTCATTCTCCATTTTATCCTTACAACAACCGTGTACGTTAGACAGAGTCTGACTGTGACTGGCCCAAAGTCAGCCATCAATTTTCCATGGAAGAGTGAGGATTTGAACCTGTCTCAGAGGATGGCAGAAGACAGGAGGGCCTGGCGTGATGTGGTCCATGGGGTCACAAAGAGTTGGACTCGACTGTGCGACTGAACCACAACAATAGCTCCCAGATTCTAGTCCAACACTGTAACCACTATATTACTCTGGCTCTCACATTACAAGTAAATGCTGCAGTGTGACACAAACAGGTTTACCTTCCAGAAAGGTTTCAAGTTTGTCTTCTGTCCTTGGTCTAAGTAGATAATTACATCCAGGCATAGTAGTTCCACCATTGGGGTAAAAATCCATATCACCAGTAGCATTAAACATCCCAAATCCTGAAAATATATTCACAGTGTTGTAAATGACTTGGTCATTTCTCTCCACTTTGGATGTAAAATTCATGTATGTTTGGCAATTACCTGTAGTGAGTGACAGGCCAGCATTGCTGTGTATGACATCAACAAGTATTGCACGCCACCACCTCCTGTGGCAGGGAATTCCATGTGTTAATCACTCTTTGGGTGAAGAAGTACTTCCTTTTATCCGTTCTAACCCGACCGCTCTGCAGTTTCATGGAGTGCCCACGAGTTCTTGTATTGTGAGAAAGGGAGAAAAGTACCTCTTTCTTTACCTGCTCGTTCCCATGCATAATCTTATAAACCTCGATCATGTCACCCCTCAGTCGTCTTTTCTCCAAGCTAAAGAGCCCTAAGCGCTTTAACCTTTCCTCATAGGGAAAGTGTTCCAACCCTTTTATCATTCGAGTTGCCCTTTTCTGCACTTTTTCCAAAGCTATAATATCCTTTTTAAGGTGTGGTGACCAGAACTGCACACAGTATTCCAAATGAGGTCGCACCATTGATTTATATAGCGGCATTATGATATTGGCTGATCTGTTTACAATACCCTTCCTAATAATCCCCAGCATAGCATTGGCCTTCTTTATTGCAGTCACACACTGTCTCGACATCTTCAGTGAGTTATCTACTACAACTCCAAGATCTCTCTCTTGATCAGTCTCTGCCAGTTCAGACCCCATCAATGTGTATTTATATTTAGGATTTTTGGCTCCAATGTGCATCACCTTGCACTTGGCCACATTGAACCCCATTTGCCATGTTGACGCCCACTCGCCCATCCTTGACAGATCCCCTTGGAGTGCCTCACAATCCTCACTGGTTTTCACCACCCCGAACAACTTTGTATCATCCGCAAATTTAGCCACTTCACTGCTTACTCCCATCTCCAAATCATTAATGAACAAGTTAAAAAGCAGTGGACCAAGTACTGATCCCTGCGGTACCCCACTGCTTACCACCCTCCACTGAGAAAATTGCCCACCTACACTCACTCTCTGTTTTCTATGAACTAGCCAGTTTTTGATCCATAAAAGGACTTGTCCTTCTATCCCATGATTTTTGAGCTTACTTAGGAGCCTTTGATGAGGAACTTTATCAAAAGCTTTCTGGAAGTCAAGGTAAATAATATCTATTGGATCCCCCTTGTCCACATGTTTGTTCACCCCCTCAAAGAACACTAACAGGTTAGTGAGACAAGATCTTCCCTTACAGAACCCATGTTGAGTCTGCCTCAATAGGTTTTGTTCATCTATGTGCCTACTAATTCTTTCCTTAATAATGGTTTCCACCAATTTACCCGGTATCGACGTCAGACTGACTGGCCTGTAATTTCCCGGATCTCCTCTGGAACCCTTTTTAAAGATGGGAGTGACATTAGCTACCTTCCAATCCTCAGGAATGGAGGCAGATTTTAAGGAAAGATTACATATCTTTGTCAGGAGATCTACAAGTTCACATTTGAGTTCTTTCAGAACTCTCGGATGTATGCCATCTGGGCCTGGTGATTTTTCAGTTTTTAAGTTGTCTATCAGTTTTAGGACCTCCTCTCTCATCACCTCAATCTGACTCAGGTCTTCCAACACCCCTCCTGAAATCAGTGGTTCTGGAGTGGGCAAGCACTTCTCATCTTCCACAGTGAAGACGGAGGCAAAAAATGCATTTAGCTTCTCAGCCATTTCCCTATCATCCTTCAATACTCCTTTTACCCCTTGGTCGTCCAAGGGCCCCACTGCCTCCCTGGCTGGTTTCCTGTTTCTAATGTATTTGAAGAAAGTTTTATTGTTGGTTTTTACGTTTTTTGCTATTTGCTCCTCATATTCCCTTTTTGCCTGCCTGACCTCAGACTTGCATTTTATTTGCCATAGCCTGTGTTCCGTTTTATCAGCCTCACATTACAAGTAAATGCTGCAGTGTGACACAAACAGGTTTACCTTCCAGAAAGGTTTCAAGTTTGTCTTCTGTCCTTGGTCTAAGTAGATAATTACATCCAGGCATAGTAGTTCCACCATTGGGGTAAAAATCCATATCACCAGTAGCATTAAACATCCCAAATCCTGAAAATATATTCACAGTGTTGTAAATGACTTGGTCATTTCTCTCCACTTTGGATGTAAAATTCATGTATGTTTGGCAATTACCTGTAGTGAGTGACAGGCCAGCATTGCTGTGTATGACATCAACAAGTATTGCATCAGATGGATCCAGCCTGACCATACGGGGCATACCTTCAAAACAGAGTGCAGCTGGGTCCAAGCCTAAATAGACATTAAATAATCCCATAAGGAATGGGAGAAACCTGACATTTTTCAAGGTATAAGAGTCCAGAGGACTCAGTCAGTCTGTCAAGGCCTGCTTTGACACTATCATGATGTAAATGCCTCCAAAATATAATTTATTAATATACACATTGCTGTATCGTAGTGAACATACTACATTGCAATTCTGATAAATTACACTAATCATAAATTATTTTCGGAATATACAAAATCACCCACACTTGCAGTGACTTAAAAAAAAATATCCCAGTGATAATTCTTTCTGGTTAAGCATTACATGTGACTCTGTGCATGCACTGCACGGGCCTCTGTGTTTTCTGGCTCTCTTTTAACACCAATATGGACTGATTTCAATCCATATTAGCCTTGGAACGTGATCCAAGATAGTACTGGTTTACTTTTAAAAAGGCAAACCATTTATCAGTGTAGGTTAGTTGTTCCACATTTTCCCATATCAGTTACTTCACACTTGACCAAGCCCTCTGAGTTCTCTTTGATTGTAATGTTGTTTCATTGGGTGGCCTACCAGTTATTCTACCAATGCCTGGAAATTTTCTGTCAACGCCTCGAAGTCGTCGTCCTGCTTCTCCAGCAGTATGAGCACCAAGACTGTGACCAATCAGGTGGACTTTTGAAGGACAGTATTTGTAAATTTTCTGATAATTAGAAAAACAGGTAATCTGTAAAATGGCTAGCAAAAAAGACATTATTCTTATTCTTAATTTTTTGCAATATATACAGAGCGTTTTTCAATTTTGTTCTGATGTCCTAAGTAACATGCTAACTGCATTTAGGAGACAGGCTGTATGCAGGGAGTTGCAGCCTTTGCAGTATGGAGTACAATGGCTGCTTGATAGATGTCTCAAATGGCTCTGACCCAATTCACAACTACTTATAGTATCTATCATATTATTGGTAAAGCCCAGATGTAATTTAAATTCCAAGTATTGGAGGGACCACTACGTATAGTAGTATTTTGAGTCTATATCCCATTTATGGTCTTCCTGGCTTCCATTTGCCCTACATTCCTTCATGTTGCCCATTGCTTCCAAATCCCACTGTGATTTCAGCTCATAATTATCTTGAAGTAGTTGTACGAATGCTAAAAATCAACACAGATAATGACTACTATATGGAGCCAAGTATGGCTGTGGATATAATTGATTGCCAATCTGTAACATCACAAGTGGCTCCCTATCTACCTAAAGAGCAGTTCTGTACCTGGCACATTAAAAAAATCTTTAAAAGGTGGCCAGCTCACTTGAGGTACAGAGAGATGAAACAATATGAACCATCATTAAATTCACTAGCCTGTATACCTGCATACCTGTCATTCAAATTATGGAGCCTGAAGGAAATTGGGTTCAGACAGTTGGTGAAGATCTTGTGATCTACCCAGCACAGGTGTTTTTGTGACCCCCAGGAATTGCTTACACAGGGTACTCTGTCCACAGATATATTGATTAATGGATATTTGAGGGGAGTAAATGGTCCAGCTCAATCTCTTTTTAAATGGATTGTTATGGGAATACCCTGCCCCCATGGATTGGGAAGAGCATTTGCCACCCTGGCATACTATTCCAGAGGCGGTAGAACAACTTAGAGAGACAGCAATGCAAACTGGAATTTACATACAAGGTCCAGATGCCATGCCTCTTACAGCTGGCATGGGGGCACGGTTAATACGAGGAGCCCCACCCTACATGTGTGGTGCTTTGTTAGTGTTGCTGGGGCCAGCTCAGGGCAGAGCAGTGGGGGATGTTGTAATTCTTTTGGGACAGCTGGGTGATGTTCCAGGGGAGGGCAAACCCAGAGCATGGTCGGCTAAAGAGAGGAAGGACTGGCGAGAAAGAAATTCAGGCAAGCTGAGGGATAAAGTTACAAGGCAGCAAATGTTTATAGAACTTCTTGAAAAGGGGGTGCCAAAGGAGAAGATAGACAGCTAATGGAAAAGATACAGACAAAGGGACTCCCCGGTATGGGGGGTGACTCCATCAGCTCCTAAGGAGGAGAAATCATTGTATCTGACTTTACCAGTTTCATCAGATGGGTGGGAAATGCCTATACCTTTAGACTAGGGGTGTTGCAAGGATGAGGTTAATAAAGACAGCTATTCCTGGAGACCCTCGCCCACACCTGCCCATGACTATTTATTGGTCTAATGAAGATAGATCCAGGTGGGCAGCCGTGTTGGTCTGAAGCAGTGGAACAAATTTAGAGTCCAGTGGCACCTTTAAGACCAACAACGTTTTATTCAAGGTACGAGCTTTTGTATGCATGCACACTTTTTCAAATGGAAGGTAACATTTCAAACTTATCGACAGGCTGAACAGTAAATTAGCATGTAACATGATGAAGATGTTGTGTACTGTTCACCCAACAACCTTGATTTAAAGAGTTTTGGCAATTAGCAGTGTTATTTGATTGTTTTGCAGTGTTAAGTCACCGGTTGCCCTTACAGTTGGCTGCCCTGATTTATTAGTCTGAGTTTTAAAAGTAACTGATGACAATTTCCACCTCCTCTGCACTTTTTGATACTTTCTGATTTACTGCACCAGGCTCCCCAAGTTAACTTCTTAGTACATCTCTTAAAGCATCTAACTTAGTTGAAATTTTATTGAGTTTTTGAAAAATAGTTGGAAAGTGTGTTGAAAGTGGATTATTTAGTGTGTGTGATTGCAGCCTCAGAGTCCATTCTGCATCTTTGTTACCTGCCTTTTCTTTCTCTCACCCCTTCTGCTCCACAGCTACCAGTCTGCTTTACCGCCAACTTTGGCCAGTTTACGTTTAACAGATAAGCCTAATTAACACCAACTGTCCCTCCAACTGTAGCCAGGCTATTCCAGAATGTTATAGTTTATGCTAAGTCTTGTCCTTGTGTTATCTTTCCAGTAATAGGCAAGAGGAAACCTTTTGTGTAATTAGAAAGTAGAATCGCAAGTGAGGAGCTGCTGCTGCATCACCATCTTGCCTTCAGTCCTCTGCTTGGAAGCTATTTAAAACCATACTAAAGCCCAGACAGAATGCACTCCACAGATTAGGAAAGTCATTGCCAAGTCTAAAAGAAGACCTGCATGGTTAACAATGCAAGTTAAGGAAGCTATAAAAAGTAAAGGGGCGTCTTTTAAAAAGTGGAAGGTCTGCCCCAATGAATTGAACAGGAGGGACCACCGCTTCTGACAAAGGAAATAATTAGACGTGTAAAAAGAGATTTTGAGGAGCGGGTTGCTAAAAGCATCAAGACAAACAATAAACATTTTAAAAAATATATCCAGAACAGGAAACCAGCCAGAGAAGCAGTTAGGCTTTGGATGACAAAGGAATAAAGGGGTTGCTGCAGGAAGATGGGGAGATGAAAGAGAAGCTCAATGAGTTTTTTGCTTCTGTGTTCACTGTGGAAAGTGTGGGGCATGTACCCGTGCCAGAGCCACTATTTTCAGGAAGGGAGTCTGAAGAATTGAGGCAAACTGAGGCCGTGGTCACACGGACCTCTTACCGCGCTAGTTTTCCTGCAGTTCTTCTATCCGCGACATTTTATATCGCTTGGAGGTGGTCAGACGGTCCCTCTGTCTTCTGCTTACTCGTGCGAAGTACTGATCACACAGCGCGCCGTCCCCGCAGTGGCGCGGGGTTTTTAAAACAAAAACCAAAACCTGTGCATGCCACGGTGGATTGCTGTCCAGATACCAAAACCGTGGATACAAAGCGTGAGATATTGGAAAACACCTGTTCCAACGGGTGTCAGAAAACGCAGATAAAAAGAGCGGAAACCACGGGACTCAGCCCACTTCGATGCGGGAGGCAGGTTTGCCAATATGAACAGGAAACTTTAATGCGCGAGGGATCAGCAGCGAAGCCCGCACTAAATGTCCGTGTGACCTGACCCTGAGATGACCAGAGATGAAGTTCTAGATCTATTTGGGAAATTAAAAACTAATACGTCTCTAGATCCTGATGGCATACATCTGATAGTTCTTAGGGAACTCAATGGGAGATAGTTGATCTACTAACCCATATGTATAACCTATCACTGAATTCAGCTGCTGTGCCAGAAGACTGGAGAGTAGAAATGTTACATCTATTTTTAAAAAGGGATCCAGAGTGGCAGCAGTAAATTTCAGGCCAGTCAGCCTGACGTCTGTCCCAGGCAAATTAGTAGAAACTGTAATCAATGATTAAATTATTAGGCACATAGAGGAACAAAGCCTGTTGAGGGAAAATCAGCATGGCTTCTGCAAAGGGCAGTCCTGCCTCACCAGTATTTTGGAGTTCTTTGAGAAAGTGAGCAAGTATGTAGACAACGGTGACCCGGTAGACATTTTAAACTTTACTTTCAAAAGGCTTTTGACAAGATACCTTACCAAAGACTTATGTGTATTGGTGCTGGTACTATTTAATTTATTCATAAATGATTTGGAACTAGGGGTGAGTAATGTAATGGCCAAGTATGCAGATGACAGAAAATTATTCAGAATAGTGAAAACCAAGGCTGACTGTGAAGAGTTCCAAGATTACCTTCACAAACTGGATGAGTAGGTAACAATGTGGCAAATGAAGTTCAGTGTTGCAAAGTGTAAGGTGATGTACATTGGGACAAAAAAATCCGAACTTCAAGTATAGGCTAATGGGGTCTGAACTTGCTGAGTGCTGGAAGAAGTACAGAGGAGGGTGACCAAGATGATTAGGGGGTTGGATCACGTTCCCTATGAAAGAAAGTTGAATACTTTGGAATTTTTCAATTTAGAAAAGAGACGACTAAGGAGGGACATGATAGAAGTTTATAAAATTATGGAAGGGGTGGAGAGAGTTGACAAAGAGAAATTCTTCTTCCTCTCCCAAAATAGTAGAACTCGATGGTATCTAATGAAGCTGATGGGCAGTAGATTCAGGACGGACAAAAGGAAATACAACTTTACACAAAGAGTAATTAAAATATGGAATTCACTGCCAGAGGATGTAGTGATGGCCACAGGAATAAACAGCTTTAAAAGGGAATTAGATAGATTCATGGAGGATAGGTCTATCAGTGGCTACTAAACATGGTGACTGAGGAGAACCTGTACGTTCAGATGCACTCAATCACTGAATCCCAAAGCCATGAAGTAGCAGCAGGGGAAGCTCTTGGCCTCTATGCTGTGTTGTTGGTCATCCCGAATAACTGGTTGGCCACTGTGAGAGACAGGATGCTGGACTAGATGGACCACTGGTCTAATCCAGCAGGGCTCTTATTATGTTCTCATGTTCAATCCCAAACTCTTGGAAGATCCCTTCCATGAAAACAAAAATCTGCAAAATTTTGGCATGTTACCAAAGTATTGTTGCACCTGGTATATCAGCTGAACCACACACACACACCAGTTTAAGACAAAGTGGCCATGGTTTGCATGCCATTTCATGCTTCATTAACTTTTCACAAAGAGAGGCAATCTTTGTATAAATTTATATGAAGTTTGGAAGACTTGTGGAGAAGTAAGAAGTAAGTAGTAAGAAAAGTAACAAAATCATTCTTACCGTGAAAGTATCGATAAGATAAGCTATCTCTGCTCCCAAAACACGAGTGTTGCTTGCTGCGATGAAGTATGTGCATTTTGCTCCATCTTCCCAGTCTACAGCAATACAGTTTATATTTTCCACACGCACAAGCAGCTACAGTATGCATATAATGAAAAGAAATTCTGTAGGGGCTGAACACAATTAGAGACATCCAAAGTTCTTTCAAAGATAGTTTTCCATAGAATTCTAAGGGTCCATAAGACTACCTAGTCCAATCCATTGTCCAAATTAAGACCATCCTCACACCAGTTTCCCACATATTAATATATGATATCCAGATTACAATATGCTAGAAGCAAGCAGTGTGTGCACAATATAATCTTCATACCAAACACATCTCCACGACCCAGCCATGTTTTCCTGTGCTGGTAAATCCATGGGTAATAAAGGCAGTTTTCCTTGATGGAGAGAAGTAGGACTTTTCTATAGTTGTTGTATTACTGGCTGAGATTTTCTGTTTGAGATATATAAAAAAGAGTGAGAAAATTAGATATATACTTTACCCTTCAGAGATCTTTAGTAAGCAGAATGTTCTCTTTTCTTGTGCTATTAGCCTCCTGCATCTCCCCTAGCTACATCTGAGCTTCATTTTAAGAATAATAGGTGACTGTAATGTCATGGTCCATGCACTTGCAAGGACCAACGACTAAACAGAATGTGGATTATTAAATTAGGCTAACAGTGCAATCCTAAAAGCACTTTCCTGGGAGTAAGCCCCATTGAACAGAACTTAGTAGAATTCAGAGCAGTCCTGCTTAGCTCTCGAAATGTATGGAATCTTGGGTTCTCCAAGTCTTTGGGTATTTAATATCCTACCTCAGCTATATCCCACACCACATATATTGGTAGAAGAAGGTGAGAGCCACTGTCTCAAGCACCTGCCAGTCAGAGTAATCCATAATGAACCCACTCCACGAATGATTACATTTTATCTGATCATAGAGGATTGAACCTATCGGCCATTCTCTTATGGTAGGATTCTGCAACTAATTAATTTTAGCTAGAGCTGATACTTCATGCAACTGAACAAGAGGGTTTTTTAATTTAAGAAATCTGAATATTATTAATGCAAGTTCAGAGTATTATTAATTATATTTGTTTACAATTGTAATTCCCAATATATATTTAATAAATGCTCAAGTAAATGAGCTGTTACTTGTTCTGCCGAATAAAATAGTTCATAATTGTTTCTCCTACTGATACAGGAAGCAATGCATGTTAAAGGAAAACCAGCACACAGCTACTATGCTGCCCATTGGACTTGAAACAGATAATAAAAAGACAACTCACTTGTGAAGTATTTCCAGACTCTTTAGTGAAGAGATAGAAGGTAATATTCATACTTTCAGGAGACTGGGGTAAACCTAGCAGCTGTCTCCCAGGTATTCCTGACCAAGGGGGCTTATCAGAGAAACATCCAATCCTTTCGTAGCAGACTTCATTTGCTACAGAACACAATGCAAATGGTTAATATCGGGCAGATCCAGGGCTTAAGGTAATATCATGTAAGTCATTTTGCTTGTGTGAAATCCTTTTGGCATTTGTGTGTTTGAGGATAATGCAGTCTGAGGTATTTCTGTATGCATTGGGAAACTGTTGCAGAGATGTGTGTGGGTGCTTGGATGGGGGACTCCCGGCTGAGGTACCCTTCCCTGACAGCAGGCTGGTTTCCACCCTCTCTCACTCCTCTCTCCTGTTCCCATTAACCCTCAGCACAAACCAGATGTACTGTGTTGCCACAAGCCTGATTTTAGGTGAAAAGTATGCAGACAGAGAGTGATTTCAGCTAAGCATACCTTTATTTAGTTCAGGACAAAGACAACTGACCGGCTCGCAGACCGGTTTATATATGTTCAGAAAACCCGCCACCAAGCATACCTAAACACACACCCTACTCCCGATAGGCTATTTACAGTAACCGGGCGACCATTGGTCTCCCGGCTGGGAAGCTAGCCCTTTTGATTGGGCCGGCTAGGATCCTCCGGATCCTTTGTCTTTTGACTGAAGCTAACATAGGAATTGTGCCTGGCCAGCCGGGCAAGTCCGGGCATGTCAGGCTGAATACATTACACCCCTCCCCCCTTGGTTCGCAATGCACCCACAGACGAAGTCCTTCAGGTGCGCTGGTGGCTTCCTGGGGGCACCTCTTTTCACAAGCATGTGTTGCCTGGATGAGCAACTAAGCCTGAGACACAGAAAACCCTGACAGAGTTTTAAAAGCTTTTACTAAAAGATTGAGCTCACACCAAAGAGCAAAAGGAGCAGTCAGTTGTTGATAACTTGCATGGGGGGGGGGGGGAAGCAGTT